TTTGGCAAACCAATTTGGACACTGCCGTTTTTTTGACGCTTTGTCACCCTAATCTTTATTGGGCTTAAGTTGCCTTATTAAATTTGCATAAACACAAAGCAAAAAATGACAAAAAAATGATTTTGTACTTCATCTTTAAATGAACGCCAGACAAAAACCACGCAACGGATCAAAAAACTACTTTTCACTATGGTGGATTTATAATACTTATCTATTACATTTGTATAATTATTAATTACTTTTAGTAATTATCACATTTTTGAAAACCGGAGAAGTAACTAAGTGCAGACTGAGTACTCGTATAATATCTTCAAACAAACTTGGTCTGTGCGTCTGTGCTAAATATTTCATCATCTCCCCGTTGCACTTTAGTTAGTAAGCAATTAAATCATACTTATAATTAAATATGCGATCACTTTGTTAATTGATTCATTATATTATATTATATTATATTAATTCGCCTGTACGCGTATATTGCAATTAATTTCGTCTGCTTCAGTTCATTGAAAGTTTTGAAGATTAAAAGCCGACGACAACGGGAAATTAATTCCGAGACGATGCCACGTAATTTACGATGTAAATAAATAATTATGAGACAACTCTGGGAATATTATACGGCTCCTGATGATAAGTCGATGTAATATGTCAGATTGGGAAAAAAAGCGATCCGACGATCCGGCGCATACTATTTGCATTTTTAATTATCAATATGCTAATGTGTGGAATCGATATGTTGATATGTTGTTATTCGATAGCCAATTTAAACTGTAGTAAGGTATGCGATCGATGAATATTCACGAACCCGAGAGAAAACATACATACATATATCGATATAAATACATATTAAAATCGTGCTTCATTTGTTCTTTGCAATACTTCTCCGAAACGGTGAAAATGAAATTTTATAATAAACTAGCAAACCCGACGAACTCCGTTTCGCCACCAGATGATGGTGAGAAAGATGAAGAAATTTTTTGTTTGTTTTATATTTGAAAAGGAAAAATTTGATCAGGAAGGAAAACCCGACTTATTTTTATATATATAGAAGATAATCTATTTGCAATTATTTAAAACAATTATTGATTATTTTTATTACTCGGATTTTTAATTACGGTGCGAGGAGTTCCAGCAATTTGCATTAGGGCACGATGCCATGCACCACTAATTTACTTAGCTATAAACCATGCGAAGCCCGAGACCTTTCCAACAAATGCAAAATTGTCGAAATCGGTTCGTGCGCTCTGGAGTTATTTCGTCAGGAAGGAAAACCCGACTTATTTTTATATATATAGAAGATATCTGTATGGCTGAGAATCAGCCAATATTTATTTGATCTTTTAATAGTCCTATAATTTTTTATCCGCCTAAATAACTTATTAATTATCGATCTGAAAGTCGATCAAGATATTTTCTGTGTTTATGCAATAGCCTGAATTGATTTGCTCTAATAACCTCTGAAGCATTTTTAAAGGTTGCCATATCGATAAAACTAGACGCGTCAAATTAATAAATGCTTGCCGGGTCAGCTAGTATATATATATATATATATATATATTTTAGGGTGGTCCATAATATGGACATTTTCGAATTTTCTTGCTCCCACGGGCTCAAATGGTTCAAAATTGATAAAAAAACAATTCTCTGAAAGTTTTAGCTCTTAATATTAACTTTTAGATAGTGCGCAATTCAATCAAACTTCGTATGGAAATAGCATGGAAAATTTTTTGAAAATTTAAAAAAAATGTTTTAGGTATAACTTAGCGACAAATGAATTAAAAGTGAAAATTCGTGTCATTTTTTATTAGAAATTCGACGCCCTGCAAAATTTTTCAAATTTTTTTCATGCTATTTCCGTACAAAACTTTGATTGAATTGCGCTCTATCTAAAAGACAATATTAAGAGCTAAAACTTTCAGAGAATTGTTTTTTATCAATTTGGAACCATTTGAGCCCTTGAGAGCAAGGAAATTGGAAAATGTCATATTAAAGACCACCTTAATATATATATATATATATATATATATATATATATATATATATATAATATTCTCAATTGCTTAAAATTATTACTACGAAATATTTATAAATTCCATGCTGTGAATATCATAATTATATATGTATAATTATGACTCATGTGTGTTATGCAAGTACATTTTATAACATTGTTTATTTTATTCATTCATAATGCTACTTATAGTTTGGAATAATATAAAAATAATTCATCTCTATATATAAATACATCATGATGAAATTTCGATTGCAATTAACGCGTAATGTGGATGTTGTACCTATATTATTATATATGAGTAATGATAGTGATTTTGTAATAGAAGTTACGTTTATAATTCTTCTCCGATTTGAAAAAATATAAAAACCTCATCAGATTTAAGAAACTGTCTAATTTGTATTCTCACTTCTGTCTCTGTTCGGACGTATTTTCGTTTTATTATATTGGCCATGAAGGTGACAACCTTCAGGGCATTAAGCTTTACACGAAATGGTTGCTACCCCTTGTAGAGGGGGTAGGGAAGTGTTTTAATTGAACTAGTTGTTCACTTCTGAAAGTAAAGTCCGCGAAACAACATGTATAATAAATAATGAATAAATATTTCTTTTTTCATTATAACTTAGTAATAAATCAGTGATTGTAATTAGAACTGCAACAAATACATAATATACAAACAAATCAATGTTTAATACAGTCCACAGCTACAAAGGTTAAATTATAACCCAACAACCTGAGTTATCGAAGAAGTGTTTTAATAAATTTTATAACTATGTAACACAAAATACAGTATCATATGAAATTTTATTATTTAAAAAATACGAACAGACCCCAATTTTCACACACCTAATAACCCTAATTTGCATTTTGTAGTAGTCATTTTAACAATTGAATCAATTGTCATCAATCTTTTCATCAGTCTATGTTTTTACTGAAATTGGATGGATTGAAATACGGTTACTGAAAATTGTATGCATCTAAATATAAAAATTATATTTATAGTAATTATAGCTTTTGTAGTAAATTTTCTCTCTCAGTCGTGTTTACAAAGCTTAATTCAAATTATGTACATGTAATTAATTATACATAGCACAAGTTTAAAACAATTCCGGTCTGATCAATTAGTCTAGCAATAAAATTTAATTAACCGAAACATTTCAACATTTACCATCAGATCATGGATTTGCTTAGTAGATAGTAGTACTATTATATCGGCCGTTGAAATCGCATGTTTAGTATTTTTATTGGCATATGCCAGATGCTTTTGTATCTAATTGGCTTTTTGTTCGTGTCAGGGGACCATTAACAGGTGGCTTTTCGAATTTATGCATTCCGAATTCGACAATGGAAATGCAGATTGCGTCCGACGGCTAAACTATAGAAGAGATATTAAAAAATAGAGTTTTATAACATTTTGGAAAATACCGAGCACAATAGGATAAAATTCACAAAGTCGTGTAAATATATTATGAGTTATTTAACAAAAAAGCGCGGATTTAATTAACAAATTAAATATGAAGAATAAAAAGAAATAGTAATAGTTAGGGAATGCAATACCGATGAAAAATTTCAATACGGGTATTTCGGTAATTTCTCATTTTAAAACCGTAATACCGGTAAATTACCGGTGTTTTTATTATCTTAAACAAACGTGAACAAAATTGAAAGTTACTAGTACAAATATAAAAAATGTCTATACAACTACAACTATATTCAATTAAACAATAAAAACAATCAAATAAAACGATAAGGTTATTTTTTTAAATAATAATTTAACAAAAGTATATGCAATTTAATTAATTCATTCTCACTATCGAGTATATTGAGTACTTTTCACCACCAAAACAAACTTATGAGTAAGAATGACCAAAACTCATAAAAGATCATATTACATTATTATAATAAACTGTATTGTCTGTATCCTATGTGTTAAATTAGCATAATCTCCAATATTTAAAAAATAATTTTTCTACAAATATATAATTTAAGATCGATATAAATAATAAGTTACTATAATTGTTGAGTATTGTTATTTAAAACAATGTGATGCTTCTATAATATTTTCAAACTTCGATTTAGTAATTATCGTAATTATTATGTATAAAGTTAGAAAAAAATAAAGATTATGCAGGGGTAATCTGTATGATATAAAATATTTTGGAGCAAATATCACTTAAAAAATCGTTACATTTTTACAAAAAATGAAACAATCATCGTAATCTATCAGTCCAATTCTATTTATTGTAACACGATATGAAGCCCTTAGCAAAGCAATAAATATTCAGTTTAATGACGAGTTGAGATAATATTTGACATTTGTTTATCTTATAGAATCACTTGAAGATATAGCTGTTTATGCGATTATGGAGAAATTTAAACTTCAGTGTATTATGTATCAAATAGCGCTTATGTGAAAAAACCGAAAATCATCACCGGTATTTTTGCGATAAATACCGCCAAAAAATCGGGCGGTTTACTGGTAATTCAGTATACCGGTATACCAGTATTGCATTCCCTAGTAATAGTCATAGCATTTATAAGGCCAAATTGTATGCGCTAAAATTCTAGAAGTTAAATTTCCATTTCCCCCAGTTACTAAAATAACAATGAGAAATATTCTACCTTACCTAACTACGATTATCATAGCAAAAATGGCTCGAAGCAAAATACTATCATCTACATCATCTTTGTTCGAAATGATTTCTTTTATTTCGACTCGTCTGGCATAGCTCGTAGCTTTTATAAGAGAAAAAAATACCAAAAAATGAAGAAAAAATGACTTGGAATATTTTTCGTAAGCGCACTTCCGCGAGATCAACCACGAT